AGGGGCACTTTGAGAAACATGCCCCTTGTTGCTGAAAATGCAAGGTGATCGGGAAAATGGTAGTAACAAGAGGCATTTTTTCACAAAAAAAAAAAAATATTTTACCAAAAAAAAGGGGCACTTTCAGCAAGTGAATATCAACAACAAGAAATACGTTGCTGAAAAGTGAAGCTCAATTGAATGGGAAAGAATTCACCGGAAAATATCAGCAAGATGAAATATGTTGTTAAAAGTTACTTTCAGCAACAAGAAGTATATTGCTGAAAGTGGAGCAGAATTTCAAGGGGTGGGATGTACATTTTTGTACTGTAGCACTTTTAGCAACATGGGGTTTGTTGCTAATACTTATTTTCGGCAACAAACAATCTCATGTTGCTGATTTATTGTTGATAAAAGACAAAATTTTAGTAGTGCTTACTTGTCTCAGATCTCTTCTGTAGGCTTGTACCTTTGTATTCTCGAGTTTTAAGGGTATACTTTAAAATAATTTAGAGAGAGATTAATTTTAATGTATATAGAAGCTGTCCATGATACTTTTACCTCATCTAATTATAAAAATGTTGCATGGTACGAACTTGGCCCTGTGGGTCAAGTGACTTTAACCACTGTTATAAAGTTCGTATTTCTTTCCTCAAGAGTAACGGTTCGATCCAACTGCATGATTAAATATTCAAAAAAAATGTTGCATGGTAGGCCCTACATGACGTGAGACTCAATATTTAAGCTATCCGCTTAGTTATTTTGGTAGGTTCCTTTCAAATTAAAGTTCAACGGAATTCGAATTCAATGAAATTGCTGAAATAAAACTGTAAGCCCCAAATCCGAATTCAGCCTAATCATGGGATTAGCTCTATTCTTTTATAAAATTCTCGATTTTAAACCTATGAGCTCATTCACCCAAGAAATTGTTGAGTTTAGCTTGCACTAGTTGCATAACTTGGGACAAAAAAAAAAAAAAAACTGCAAAAGTTATATATGATTTCACGTTAAGCCCATTATGAATCCACTTTAATAAATAAATAAACTTTTCATGACTAGTTCATATTTTCTATTTTAATTTCTTTCGGGTTTCTTACGGTCGGATCTGATCGGTAGCTAGTTCTTAAAATTATTCGGCCTTTTCCAGTTGAATAATTTTCAATAAATGTTAAGAGTTGTTCTACCTAACATTAATAGAACTTTTTTTTTTCTTTCTCCACAATATTTCTCTTTGTTATAAAAAAAAAAAAGAAGTGCATATTCTCCATTAGAAATTTCAAAGAAGCTCAATTTTGAACAGACAGGTCATAGTATTTGACAGAACATTTGGCCGATGAGAGGACATGAATTATTGATCAGCCGGCCCTTGCCCCTTGTTTTACATTTTCTTTAGGGATTGGAACGTGGTATTCTATTTTTTGTCCGCTACTGTCCAAATGCTTAGTTTGTTGGCTGGGCTTTTTTTTTTTTTTAAAACACGGGGAATGTTGACTGAGCATTTTCTTTTTAAAAAAGCAAAGTATTTTTCATCATTCCAATTTTTTATTTCCAAAAGAAAATCATCACTTCAGATGATAACTAGGAACTTCCTGGAGATAGGTTGCACCTTGGTCCTTGGCGTTTGTTAGGGTTCAAGTAGCAGTAATGATTTCTACTAATTATTACCTTATCTCCTCAACTTCTCACCATTTCAAAAA